CCACGTGCACTGCCTGCCTGTTCTAAGGGCTGACCACGTATCGTCTCAGTTAATTCTGCCAGAAGCCCTCTGAGAACTTCTGATATACTCGTTTTACAGATAAGGAAACTGAGGCATGGTTTCTCTCCAGTTCTCCCAGGGTCAAGCATTTAATACGTGAAAAGCTCTGCACCCCTGTGCATCCCATGGCAGACTGCTTCATCGATGCGCAGTCACTGAAACTGCCCCAAAGCCCGCCAGCCAGACCCGGCGGGGTCAGCTGCAGGGGACCAGAGACACAAGGCAGAGGAATGACAAGAGAGGGTGCAGTCTTCAGGGCACAGAGCCGCTTCCTCGCGAGTGTCTGTCTACCTGAGATACCTCTCTGTGCCCAGAAGTGACCTGCTGCCCCATCTCCTTGGTGCCCCAGGGTCAAGGTGCCCTGAAAAGACAGAAGAGCATGGAAAACAGTATGGCAGTTCCTCAAAGCATTAACATAGAATTATCACATAATCCAGCAATTCCACTTCTGGGTTTATACACACAAGGAATGAAGGGGACCGAAACAGACGTTTGCACACCATGTTCCTAGTGGCACTGTTGACAAGAGCCAAAAAGTGGAAGCACCCCAGCGTCCACTGACAGACAAACGGATAAACAGAATGTGGTCTATCCATCCAACGGAGTATTATTCAGCCTCAAAGAGGAGTCGTTCTGATCCATGCTACGACACGGATGAACCTTGAAGACGCCATGCTCACTAGAATAACCCAGACATAAAGAGGAAAAATCCTGTATGATTGCGCTCGTCTGAGGTCCCAAGAGTAGTCAAATTCACAGAGACAAAAGCAGAGTGGTGGGTGCCAGGGCCTGGTGTTTAATGGGGACAGTTGCAGTTGGGGAGATGAGAAAGAAGGCTCTGGCTGTGGATGGTGGTGATCGTTGCACAGCCTGCGAATGTGCTCAATGCCACCGAGCTGTGCGCGCAACAGCAGTTAACATGAGAGAGGCCATGACTGTGTGGGGACAGGGGGCGTATGGGAGCTCCCGGTACCTTCCTCTCAGTCTTGCTGTGAACTTAAAATTACTCATAAAAAAGTCTTTAAAAATGGTTAAAATGGTCAATTTTTTTCTTTTTTTTGAGACAGAGTCTCGCTCTGTTGCCTGGGCTAGAGTGTCATGACATCAGCCTAGCTCACAGCAACCTCAAACTCCTGGGCTCAAGCGATCCTCCTGCCTCAGCCTCCCGAGTAGCTGGGACTACAGGCATGCGCCACCATGCCCGGCTAATTTTTTCTCTATGTATATTTTTAGTTGTCCAGATCATTTCTTTCTATTTTTTAGTAGAAACAGGGTCTCGCTCTTGCTCAGTTGGTCTCGAACTCCTGACCTCAAGCGATCCTCCCGCCTCGGCCTCCCAGAGAGCTAAGATTACAGGCACGAGCCACCGCACCTGGCCAAAATGGTCAATTTTATGTTATGTATATTTTACCACCATTTAAAAAAAAAAAAAAGCTACAAAAATTGGCTGAATCTCCCCTTACTTTGAAGGTCCGAAAGAAAAAAGTGTCAGTTTTCTTGGGATACTTTGGCTCAATGTAGACAAGTCTCTACCACTGGTAGGCTTTGCAGAGAGGTGTCACCGTGAGGGTGTTCTGGCTGAGGCCAAGAAAGGGAAGTTGAACTGGAAAAATAGTTGAGCTATTTACAAAGTTTACACAGTCGCCCCAGGCTGGGCTCTGTCGTTTGGTCCTGAGCACTAGAAGTGTATTTTTATGTAGCACTTACTATTATTATTATTACTAAGCAGGTAAGTTCTTAACGGCTGAGCTGATTGGCCTGAGAATTCCTTTCACTCCTTCCCGAGAGAAGGAACCAACCATTCAGGTGAAGATTCAACACTGGGATTTTTTTTTTTGTAGGTCAGGAAAGGTCACTGGTCGGAGGCCTCCTGGCCCGCAGGTTTCAGTTCCGAGCCCCTGTCCCTCTCCCTCTCATTTCACTGCTCCACCGGGGGATGCACGGTGGCGCCTCCCACAGGATAAAATCATAGCTTTGTTTATTTCCCAAATTCTGAGCATTGAGCATTTACTGTCAGCCAGGCCCAGTCAGAACCACCGCCCGGAGGCTTGCAGTCGAAGAGCTGCCTTTGTTCAGCGTCTTCCTCCCAGCTGTCCTGCCGAGGCGGACACCGGCCGTGCCCCTTTTATAGATGGAGAAACACGGACCGGTCAGAAGTGAAATAGCCTAAGGTTGTACAACCCACAGCGACAGAGCCTGGACTGAACCCCAGGCAGGTGGCTGCAGGGCCCCATGGCTTCCTCGTACCCCGGGTACCTGGTAATGTGGGCTCCCTGGGGTGCAGCAAGGCAGAGGGGCTTAGGGCCCAAGCTAGTGAGGGTCCTGTTTCTAAGTTGCTTGTCCTTCTTCTGAGAGCTGCCTCAAGTCCTCAAGGGGACCAGAGCTGGAAAAAATTAGTCACCTTGGCTCAACTATTTCTTTTAAATAAAAGAAAAAGAGGCCAGTGAGGAGCTTCCCATGCGGGCTTGGCCAAGGCCTTGGCAGCACCCTCCGTCTGCCCCATGCTTCGCAGGCTGGGCACTGCAGCTTGCACGGACGATCTGCTGGTGGAGGAGTTCTGAGCTGCACTTGGCCAGACATTTACTCACAAGCAACTATTGAGCACCTACTGTGTGCCAAGCACTGGAGATGAAACTGGGAATGACTCATACCTGTGCTTGCTCTATGCGGGTGACAGGCTAAAGAGGGCAGAGGGTCAGCTAATAGGTGAAGAAGGTTCCTTAATGGCTTGAAGAAGCTCCAACTGGAAGGGCTGGGCGGGGGCACAGAAGGCATCCCCGAGTCGCTGCAGCTTGAGGGCAGATCTGAACGGGGAGGAGTCATGGACAGGAAGATCTGGGGAAAGTCCTCAGTGGGAAGGCGGAGAGATGGAAAAGCCAGTGTGGTTGGAGCGCAGTGGCCGAGGAGGAGGGGGACCCGGATCAAGAGGTGGGGAGCATGGAGAAGGTTCAGATGGAAATAACAACAGCGAGTGCTTGGAGGTGCCGCCTTTACCGGCAACCGCGCCATTAATCGCCACCTGTGCTTCTGCTTGCTCCAGTGGACGGTTGGGGAGGCTGAGACCTGCAGAGGTTAAGAGTGGGCTCAGGGACCCACAGTGGCAAAGCCAGACCTCAGATCCGTCCCACAGGAATTCTCAGCTCCTAACACCCCTGCTGGCTGTCAGTCCTTCAGTCACTGGAGCGCCTGTTGTGCGCAGGTAGACAAGCAGTTCTGGGAGATACATCAGCTGCCCACAGGGCCAGCCCTCTGCAGAACTTACCAGCAAACAGGAGAGATAGGGAGGAGCCCCAGGGGGTTGGAAATTGAACTGGCTGGGGAGTCCTGGCAAGAGAGGGGATCCCCATCAGGAGTTGGGAAGAGACATCATAGGGCCTCTGCCCAGGTCAGCAGGCACAGGTGGGCCTACAGGCTTGGGTCCCACTTTCCCAGGGAGGTGCTCAGGTAGACCCTGGCTGAAGGAAGGAAGCTCACCCCCGTCATGCCATTTGGCAGATGGGGACCCAGAGACGGAAGAGGACTTGCCCAAGGACACGCAGCAAGTGAGGGCAAGTTCTAGGTCTCCTGCACCCTGGCCAGGATTGTCTTCTTGGCAACAGATCCGTAGGCCCATTTGGGGTGCCCAGGGTCCCACAGGCTGCCCAGGAAGGCGGGTCCGGGTGAGGGCTGCTGGGACACCCTGTGGACCCAGAGAGGAGCAAAGAGCCTCACTGAGGAGTCTGGAGACAGAGGCAGCTCGGTGGCCCGAGTGTCCCCCTTCCTAGGTCTCCCAGGCCCCCTCCAGTGGTATGAATAAGCACCAGCAGGGTTGGAGGGGAGGTCCCAGGGCTCTCCAGGTAGGGATGGGGTGGGGGGTGGAGGAGGTCGAAATGGCCTGGGGACATCTCTGGTCACAGGTGCTGGTGGCAGCAAGGGGTGGGGTAGGCTGCAAGCCCCCTGTAGCTGTGGCTGGGCGGGGCTGCTGGAAGGTGGCAGGCTAGGCTCCTCAGGTACCACAAAGAGCAGGGATTTTCACACCTAGGTGGGCCAGCATCTAGCTGGGCCCGCCCATCTAGCGAGCCCGCCCCCAAGAGGCCATAATGGGCACAGTAGGGGGTAGGGACCGCCAGTGGGGGGAGGGAGCCTTCCAGAGGCCTGGCCTGGGTCCCGCTAGGTCTAGGGCTCTGGCTTTGGCACGTTGAGTGTATTCCAGCAGTGTAATGAAAGGGGGGCGAGGGATGGTGGGCATCCCCTGTGGGCCTGTGCCCTGCCACCTGCCCTTGCATGGAGGCAGGTGCGTGTAGGAGGTGCAGGACGCAGACGGTGGCCTTCCCTGGTTGCATCTCCACCACTTTCCCCCTTGGCTTCCCTTAGCAGCACCCAGTTCGCCGCCCCCTGCTCAGGCAGACGTCCACTTGTAGACGGAACTCGATCCCCGAAACGCGCCAAGCCTGCAGGGCTGCGACGGGGGCCTTGCCTCCCTCCAGCCTGTGGCCGCCGGGTGCTCACTTGCCCAGCCGCCCCGGTGTTGCTTACTGCCCGGACCGCCCTTCGTTCCCAGGCCAGTGCTCAAGGCCCCCGCAAAGGCATCAATTTCCCGTGAGTCCCCGAAAGGCGAAGCGCAGGGAGTGGCCGCTGGCTCCTGCGTCCACTGGGAGCTGAGGGTGTCACGTTAGGGCTGCGTCCAGGCGGCCCCAGCAGAGACGGAGACCCGCAGGGACGGAGTGCAAGAGACAAAACTTTGGCTGTAAAGCAGAAGTGGAGGAGACGCGAGGGGCGGGACGAACAGGTCCGTGGGCCGGGCGGAGCCAACGGTGGGGGAGGGGGTCCCTCCAGGTGGCACTTGCGGCGCTAGTCCCCGGCCGCCTCCCCTCCCCCGGCCCTGATTGGCAGGCGGCCTGAGACCAGCCGCGAGCGCCACGGCGCCCTGGGCGCCCAGGCGAAGGCGAACGGCCCCCCGCGGGAGCGGGCGAGTAGGAGGGGGCGCCCGGCTATATATATAGCGGCTCGGCCTCCGGCAGCCCAGCGCGCAAACAGGCGCGCACCGCACCGTGGGTCCCGGCTCCCACCCGCGTCCTCCTGCCGCTGCCCGCCGCCCCATGCAGCCCGGATAGCGCCCGGCACCCGGGGGCCCCGTCGTTCGCCTCCCGCTCTCCCTCGGCTGCGCGCCCCCTGCCCGGGCTCGGGCCGTGCGCTTCCGCGGGCCGCCACAGACGCAGCTCTGCCCCCGGCTTTCGGGGCGCACGGACCGCCTGACGGACGCACGGCCCTCGGGCCGGGATGTCGGGGTCCGGGACGGCCACGGCGGCGCTGCTCCCGGCGGTCCTGCTGGCCCTGCTGGCGCCCTGGGCGGGCCGAGGGTGCGCCGCCGCGCCCACCGCACCCAACGGCACGCTGGAGGCCGAGCTGGAGCGCCGCTGGGAGAGCCTGGTGGCGCGCTCGCTGGCGCGCTTGCCGGTGGCCGCGCAGCCCAAGGAGGCGGCCGTCCAGAGCGGCGCCGGGGACTACCTGCTGGGCATCAAGCGGCTGCGGCGGCTCTACTGCAACGTGGGCATCGGCTTCCACCTCCAGGTGCTCCCCGACGGCCGCATCGGCGGCGTTCACGCGGACACCGGCGACAGTGAGTGGGGCCGGCCGGGCGGGAAAGGTCGGGGGCCGGGGGCAACCGCAACCTCTGCCACCTCTCTCAATCGCACGCTGAGGCCCTGGGCGGGCACCTGCTCACAGGCCAGGGAAGCGGGGCGGACTCAGATTCCGATCCCTTCTGACGCGGGGACGTGGGGACGCAGACACTGCTGGCTCCAGCAGCCCAGTGCAACCCCAGCGGCTGATCCCCGCCTCCCCGCCTTCGGCTCTGGGCGCCGAATTCCAGCGCCTTCGCCCGTGGGCACAGGGCGCGCGGGGCAGCCACCGGCGCCCGCGGGGGCCCGGGACACTGGCCCAGCCGACAGGAGACAAGCTAGTCCGCGCCAGCGCGAGCTTGGGCTCGGAGCCCTTGGGGACGGCCTGTGCCGGTGGGCTCTTTACTCTCACCTCACTCCAGAAATGGGGTCCCCCGAGGCTTACAGGCCGAGGGGCGGTGTGGGCCAAGGGTCGCCCGCCCCGGAATGACCTGCGCCCCGCCCCCAGGCCTGCTGGAGCTCTCGCCGGTGGAGCGCGGCGTGGTCAGCATCTCCGGCGTCGCCAGCCGGTTCTTCGTGGCCATGAGTAGCAAAGGCAAGCTCTATGGCTCGGTGAGTACCGCTGGGGTCTGGCCAGGCCCCCAGCTGGGGACAGTGGGCAGTGACAGCAGGATTGTGACCCTTTCAGGCCTACCTGTGCCTGGTTCATGAAGCGGTGGCAGGGTCACCAGGTCTCAGGGCTGGCAGTGCCACCCCCAACCCCCTGGAAGTGCCCAGAGGCAGGCCTGGAAAAAGGGAGCAGCCCCAAGGCAGGGACAGTGAGGTTCTGGCCATCCCTGAATGGGCACCTCCGAGTGCGGAGGTTGGGAGCCCTCCTTCATAGCGCAGAGGGGTGGGTCCCAGCTGGCAGCACGGTGGTCTTTGGGCTGGACACCAGACACAGTGGAGATAAAATTCTCTGGCTGGTAGGTGCCTGGCAGGTGGTGGGAGCACCAGCTGTTGTGGGCTGATCACGTCCATGTCACCTTCTCACCCCGTGAGGGTCTTGACACCCTAACTGCCCAGGAGAGACCTCCCAGCCCAGAGCAGGGGCTGGGACAGAAGGGAGCCCCTGCCCCCTGCCCCCAGGGTCCCTTGCCCAAGAGGCGGCCCAGCACTAACACTGCCCTCCTCTGCTGCAGCCTTTCTTCACTGACGAGTGCAAGTTCAAGGAGATACTCCTTCCCAACAACTACAACGCCTACGAGTCCCACCGGTACCCCGGCATGTTCATCGCCCTGAGCAAGAATGGGAAGACCAAGAAGGGGAACCGAGTGTCACCTACTATGAAGGTCACCCACTTCCTTCCCAGGCTGTGACCCTCCGGAAGAGCCCTGCCTCAGCCTCGGTAAGCCCCCGGGAGGGGAGCGCCGAGGGCCACCTTGGTGCACTTTCTTCGGATGGAGAGTTGAATGCAAGAGTAGGTGTAAGATATTTAAATTAATTATTTAAATGTGTATATATTGCCACCAAATTATTTATGGTTCTGTGGGTGTGTTTCGTATTTTTCTGAAAAAGAACAAAGACATAAACAAATGAGAAAACAACTCTGACTATTCTGTGCGACGGCGGAGAATCTTACCATGGGATTTGTTTAACTTGGCAAAAAATTGTCACAAGTGTGCTGCTATTCTGTGTTTTTAAAATCGGTGACGTTAGATTTCAATGTGAACCCTGTTTTGTGCCGTCCGCCTGTGCTATGCCGACGAGCATCCCTCTGTCTGGAAAGCCTGCCGGAGGCTGTGGAAACCAGTTAAGGGAGCTCTGGGCCGGGTGTTGGCTCCCCAGGCCAGCATCTCTGGCGGCCCACTCCCTTTGTGCCCTGTTGCTATTAATCGGGACATATCGGTTTACTGCGGGTACACAAAGTGCAGTGTCGAGCACTCGCTGCCACTCTGTTTTTAGATCTGCCAAGACTGACCTTTGAACTTTCCTGTAGTCAATCTTCCTCGATCTACCAGATGGGAGAGACCCTTGGACAACTTTATAAACTTCTGTTTTCCTTTTTTGGATCGGCCACAGCCCACACGACTGTGGCCATTGGGGAAAAGACAAAGCTATTTTGTAAATTTGACAGAAAGGAATCGCTATCCTGCCCGAAGGCTAGAAATGGATGACATGGTGTATTTGCAAGCGCGACTAAGACACCAGTGATGAAATGTAATTTGTGATAGCAGGTACTTCTGATAATGTAATAGAATATATTTTTATAAAACAAACAAACCAGCCCTCCCCTAAAACAGGTTTCCCTGTGCTTGGGGAGCTTTGGGCTAGAACTAGCCATTATTTTTAGGTGAACTGTCCGTGTAATTGTACAAAGACACTTGGTGCAGTGTTTGCAAGGCGGAGCGTGCAGCCTTCTGATGCATTCCCTGCTTAAGTGCATTTGACATCTACCTCACAAGCCCTTAAACCACTGGCGAAATCTGCAGAAAGCTCAGCCTGGCTGCAAGAGTTTGACATCCAAGTTGCTCTTTTTCCATATGTAGCCAGAAAGGATTGCAGATAGCGTCGGTGCGTCCCATTCGAACCTTGTCACGTTTGAGCTATCTTTACCCTATGATTTACTTTTAGTAAGGGTAATCATGGTGAAAATATTTGCAGACAGCTGTTAGAGTGCACTATATGGTCACCAAGTAACCTTATATTTTTCTTTATATATTTTACAAATGTAACCCCTGTCGTTGAGATAACCATGGAAGAGGCGGGGTCGATGATGTTTAAAAAAAGTTCCGAGGTGATGGCAAACATTTAATTTTAATGAATGACTCTTTAGAGTTTATACAAAATGACCTTAGCTTGCTACCAGAAATGCTCCGAATGTTTCCTCAAGACTTTAATACTCTCCTAGGATGTTTCTGAACTGTCTCCCAAATTAACTTTATGGGAGTCTACAGACAGCAAGACTGGAAAATCTGATTGGAGTTTTTGTCTTTCACATTCCTTTTGAAAACTCTTTGTTTGAATGCAAATCGTCAGCTTAAAATACTATTCTTAACCAAGGCCTAAGAAGAAAGAAGCCACTTGTGAAGCCACTGAGACAGGACCACACATCTTAAACTGCTGTTCATACAATGTAATACAACTTTTTAAATTTTTAAACCACGCCCTAGACTCCTGCAGTGTTGAGGACAGATGATGATTACGTGTCTCCATGCTGTTTGGGGGTGGGGGGATAATTTGTTAACTTTCTGTATTTAATGTATTCACATAGTAACAAACCATGATTGTCTTAAACGCATTAAATTATTATGAGCTATCTCAGTGCCCAATCAAATTGTCAAGAATTGAGATGTCTTAGGTGCAGAATTTGATCACCCTTGGCCACTTGTGTATGTATTTCTTCAGCAGATCATGCGTGATGCGTACAGGGATGTAATTGTACCTTTGAAACACTGTAAAGTTTTCGTGTTGCTGTGCCGGGGATGTGAGGTTTCTGTATTTACACACCGTCTCAGCATCTGTCTGTGGTTTTGCACAGGTGCCCGTCCACGTTGCGATGTATGTGCTGTGCACACTGTCATGCCGAATAAAATGATAAGCATTTATCATGCATAAAAAGAACCCCACTGGACTTGATGTAAATGACTGGGAAAGGTATTAAAAACTATTAAAACATGCCATGAAATGCCAAGACCTTGTTCCCTCCCCCTGTCTTCTAGCGCTTTCTATTTGAGGCCTGAGCCTCACATTGCCGGGGTGGGGGTGGGGGCAGGGGAGATGAATTTTAGCCAGCTGTGTCCACACAAATGTAGCCTTGAAAACAGGAGCCTGGGGGGGGGGAGGCGGCAGGGAGGTGAGTGTCACAGAGTTTTGCCATGACACTGAATCTTGCAGTTTATTCTCATTCTCCCGAGGGGGCTAATTCACAGCATTGCCACACCGTAGCTAACCAAAGCTCTGTGCTCCACCTGGCCTGGCGTTCTCTCGAGCAGTTTGCGCCGCTTCTCTAGGGTGGGGAGTGAAGCCCCAGCGCCAGTCATCAGACCGACTCAAGGGCATTTTTGGAATCTGAGTAGACACCATCGACAGGTCTTAAGTCAATATAATGAACCCCACCCCGCCTTTTATAAGAAGGAAATGGAGTAAAACCATATAGAATAGAAAATACCTGAGTCTATCAATCGCTGTAAAAGTGGGAATTATTTTGCAAAACTTTGGTTTTAGTTGTATATACTACACATTTGTAACCAGTCTGTCCTAGGGTATATTTATTAGTGTAGTGGGTTGCATTTTTTAACAAAAACTGAACGCCGCCCTAATGTGCCTGGAATCTGGGGTTCCCCTCTTCCCATAAATATATCCAAATGCTTCACAAAAAGACCCCAAAAAGCCAATCAAATTTGGAGGATCCTTAATCATACCCATTTTGCTCTCCAAGGCATCACGTTCTTCCCTTATTTCTTCCTAACACCCGTGATCCAGGTGTGACAGGAATACATGGGGGGTGTTTACCGTGTCCGTCTGCCTTGAAGACGCGGCAGTCCCACCCCAGTGCCTAAGAAAGGGGCCCTTTTTGGAAATAGGGTCTTTACAGAAGTCAAGTGAGGTGGTGAGGTGGGCCCTAATCCAATGTGACTGGTGTCCTTCTGGAAAGGGGGCCACGAAAAGAGATCCAAGGAGAACCCCCTGTGGGGAAGAGGACAGAGGTCAGGGTGATGCTTCTGCAGTCCAAGTAACACCACGGATCGCCAGCAGCCACCAGCAGCCACCAGCACTGGGGGAGGCAGAGAACAGATCCTCCCTCCGAACCCTCGGCCGACCCTGCCGACACCTCGATGGCGTGCGTGTAACCTCCAGGACCGTGCGGCAATAAACTGCTGTCGTTTTCAGCCCCAGTCTGTGGCACTTTGCTGCCTGGGCAGCCCCAGGAGACCGATCCAGGCAATTACTCATGGGGGCGTGGAGAGAACTGAAGCCGCAGCCGGTCCTGCCCTACCCGTTCCTCCCACCGGCCCTGCGGCCCTCAGAAGGTCTCTGTCCAGATAAGGAAATTCTTATCCCGCTCCTGTGGTGGAGGCCCGCCCGTCGTCGGCAAAATCCGTCACCTGAACTGAGCTTCCACGTGGCTTCCACGTGGCTCTAGCGTAGAAGGGTGACGGGGGTGTCAAGGATGGGTCTGAGGGAGCCTTAGAAGTCATTCGTTCATTTGGCACACACCTGTTGAGTGCCTACTATGTGCCAGACACCATCCTAAGTGCAGAAGACAAAGATCCCTGCCCGCCTAGTGCCCTGACCACAGTGAGGGATACAGCACGGAGTGGCAAGCATGGGACGTCTGGCGAGGAGCACACGGACACACGACAGAGAGCAGGTAGCGGGGGTGTGCTCACTGCAGAGGTGACGTCTGAGCAAAGACTTGAAGGTGCTGCGGGAGGAGGCCATGCATGGAAGAGCATTCCAGGCAGAGGGAACAGCCAGTGCAAAGGCACAGAGCTGGCAGCAGCCTGGTACGTTTGCGGTACCTGGAGGGGGCCGGTGTGGCTGGAGTGGCGGGAGGGGCAGGGAAGAGGTGCGATCAGAGCCCAGCTCACAGGATCTTGGGGGCCCCGATGTGGATTGCAGCCCCTGGTTCTTCCAGGGTCAGTTCAGCTCAGTCTAGTTGGTTTCGCCTCCTTGGCCCTGAAATCTAGCAATCTCTCTGCCTATACAGGGCCTTTGTACAGCTGTCTCTCCTTGGGCCTGCGGCCACAGTGGCCTCTCAACTGGCCACTCACGTCTACTTTGACCCCAATAGGCCCTTCTCTGGGGGACTTCTCGAGATGCGAATTCCATGCTGCTCCTCTGGCTAAAATTCTTTCCATAACCCCCGTTGCTCTTAGGGTCAAGATCACAGCCCTAAACCAGGCCTATGAAGCTGTTCTGGTCACTTACTGCTGCCTAACAGGCTAACCCAACTTAGTAACTTCAAACAACAGCCATTTTACCACATCTCACGATGCGGCAGGTAGGAATTTGGGCAGGGCCTGACTGGGCTCTTCTGGGGGGGCCCAAGGCCAGCCTCCTGACAGGCGAGGCTGGAGGGCTAGGCTCAGTGGACCGTCGACCTGGCCTTCCATACCTGGCCCCTCCAAGGTGGAAACCCTTCCATGCCAACTCGGGGCTTCCAGGGAGAGTGCTCCAGGAAGCTCAAGACTCCTTATGGCCTGGCCCGGAAAGCTCCAGAGCATCGTATCTGCCATTGGTCGTGCAAACTGCCCAGACCAGCCCAGATTCAAGAGGGGCAGAGATTGGACTCTGCCTGTAGCAGGAGGAACATACAGAATGTGCAGCCATCTTTAATCCTCCACAGAGGCCCCTTTGCTCTCACCGGTGCTTGTCTTGTCACCTCCCTCCCATCATGTCCCCCTGCATAGCCCTGCACCCAGCACACCGATGCTCTCTCAGAGCCCAGAGGTGCCATCTGCTCAGCCACAGGGCCTTTGCACATTCTGCCCTCCCTGCCTGGAATGCGCTTCCCCACCCAAGCTCTTTACCCGGCTGTGTCAGTTTCCCAGGGCTGCCATAGCAAGTATCATTTGTTGGCTTAAAACACAAAAACTTATTTTCTCACAGTTCTGGAAGCCAGAAGTCTGAAATCAAGGTGTTGGCCAGGTGTTCTC